AATAAAAGATAGAGTGGGGAGAATGTTGAGAGCTTGAGTCGGCAATGTTAAGGCTTGAAGTCTTGGAGCATTTCAAGTAATTTAGAGCTAGAAAACACTAAAGGTAAGTTTCTTAAGCTCCTTTCTTCCTTTCCTTTCTTCATTTGAGAGTTTTTGAGTTAGGCTTTGTGCTGGAAAAGAGATTTTTAGTCCATAAAGGTTATAAGTTCAAACTCATTGATTTAAATAGAATTAATAGGAGTTGTTTAAGTTATTTGAATCTAGGATTTATGGTTGTACATGTTTTTTGTGGTTGAGGAGCATTTATGTCCGAAGTTAAGGTACTAAATGTGATGTTTAGAGGTTGTTAAGGATTATGAACAGCGTGTAGAATATTTAACGAAGTCAATATGAGTTAAGGGAAGTTAATAAACCTGATAGATAAGCCTAAATGCTAGAGACAAGGAATTTACGATATTTGAAGTATTAGAATAAAGAGTTTAAATTGTGTAAATGGTGATATTGATGATTGTGGAGTTAATTAATTTTCTCGTGTACTATTTTAGCTTGAGAGCAAATTTGGAAGCATTTATTTGAGGGGTAAACATTTAGTCACTTAAAGATTTGAGGTCATTAAGGGAAATATTTATATGTAGTTATTTTTTAATTGATTTAAATTTTTAAAATGATATATTTGGCATGAATCATAGAATTTCATGATTTTAACATGTGAATCTTGAGAAAGTGCCAATGTGATTTTTGTTACCTACTTGGGATATGATAGTTATGTAAAGTTTATGATTTTGATTTGTTAATAGGAGGTTATATGCATTTAGATGTGATGATATGTTGTGAATGAATGAGTTGAATTTGTTAAAGAATGAGCATGAAGTGATAAGTATATGTATATGTGATGATAGAATGTGGAAAACATGTGATGCTCACATGAGGTAGCCTATTATTATATGAAAACAATAAGTTTGCTACTATACATGTGAATATGTCAAAATATGTAAGCATAAATTATTATATAATCATATTGGCGAAAGTTCATCTAAAGAGAATAGTAGATAAAATCCACAAAGTAATAACTGCTTATCACTGAAATTGAAGAATGGCTTTTATGCCATTGTTTATTAAGGGATTGTCCTCTTGTTTGTCGAGGAACTCGAACCTAGCTATCTTTACCTATTTGTCAAAAAGATTAGCTTAGGATTTATGACACCCTGAGGATTTAAAAATGGGAAAAACTATAGTTTAAGAGTAAGTGTAGTAACCTTTAGTCAGGTTACTTTTCACAATTGGTGAGTTTAAGTAATCCATTCATAAGGACAAGGCACTGCTTGATTTATAGCCCACGATTTCAATCGAAAGTTATGAGGAGGATATGAGGTTGTAGTTGATCATGCATGTTATCCAACATGTCACCTGGTTGCTAAGTTTGTGGCAAATCGTGATTACTGTGTTTAACCATTTTCCACAGTTGTTTATATTGTGACAATGTGTGATGTGATGTGACTTTGAGAAATGTGATAATTTGTATATATGTGTCATTCGATATATGTGATTATGTAGATAGATTCTTGAACTTTTATATATTATTAAATGTCAATTAATATGCAATTACATAGAATAGGTATACCTTGGTTAATGAGTGGTTGTACTTACCCCTCTCTCTTAAACTATTACAGGCTCTAGCTCAAGAAAAGATAAGGGAAAGGCTCTAGAGGCTTAGAAATTGAGTATTCCTACTGTATAGCCTTTCAAATTTATTGTTCAATATGTAATTTTATTGATATTTTCTAATTAGGAAAGCATTTTGTTTACACTTGCATTAAAGGGTATTGCATAATTGATTGTTATATCTTGGGTCCTAAAGTTATTGTATAAGCATGTTCTAAATTTTAATATGATCAAAATACTAATACAAGTATAGGGACTCAAACCTAACTAATTTTCACTTATTCAACGAGGAAGCTAGCTGAGGGTATGACATCTCATAGTGTGAGATTTAGGAAAAATTGTTATTCACAAGTGAGTATAGTAGCCTTAGCCAAGCAACTCCTCACAATTGAAATGCTTGGGTAGTCTAAATACATGAACGAATCCCGTTGAGTGAAATAGTCAACGATTTCATGTCAAAAGTATCAGGAAGATATAAGGATGGCATTAATAAAGCATATCAAATCATGGCCATGTGGTTGTTATTATTACAGCCTTACATGTCATATTAAGGGCATATAGTTGTTAGCATTATGACCCTTGCATGTTATGATATTTAAATTGTATGATTGTTAGTATTGTGACTGAATGAGTTGTGTTTATTATGCGTATTCTAAATTAATAATGCCAACTAGGAGAGCATTCTTTTGTACTTACTTGCACTATTCATTTTAAGTTTAATGTTGTATTTTGGACCTTATGTTGTCTATTTGATGATTGTGATATCTATAAAAGGTAAAAATACTAGTGCAAGTAAAAAATGTGAAGAATTATATGATGATCTATATGAAATTGACTTCCCCTTATGTTTTTAAAATCAAGAGGTTGAGTGTTGAAATCATGGTAGGTGACTATTGTGAATGATGTGGGGTGTTGTACAGGTCATATTGAGTCTAGACTGGGAGAGGTTGTAAGCTTTTGACACTTGGGCATGAATAGCAAGGTGATATCATTTGTTTTCATCTTTCTATCCTTTCAAAATTGAACTACTCAATTATTTGTTTTTTTTTATCTGTATGCTCTAGTTGGGAAGCAAATCCGAAAATTATGTTGCTTAATATTATTTTGGATTTTATTCTGTTTGTTGAAAACTATTGTTCCTTGATTTGATATTGAGTTATGATTGTATGGTGGAGAAGATAATGACTACTATTAGTATTGACATGGCAACTACTACCACATTATTATATTTCTTGTACCTTTCTTTTTGTAACAAATTTTAATTGTTATGTTTTCAAAATTAAATTTAATTATTTTCTTTAGAAAAGAAATTATCTATTCTACTATTCATGCTTTCCATTGTTTTTTTTTTTCACTCTATTCCCTTTTCTTATTTAATTTATTTGATCAAGTGGTGTGTGTTCGCTAGTAGGTGAGACAATTATTCCTCATCATGAATTATATGTCATGTAGATATTATATAATACATTGGTTGGACGATTATTCCCCATTGTTATACATTGAAGATAAGTACAAGTACTATGCTGTAGATGGGACGATTATTTCCCACTAAGGTTGGAGATCGGGGTTGATTAAAATACTATTGTAATTGAATGTTCAATAACGTGATTGTCTATAATGATTATTATGACTGAATCTTTTGTTTGTCTGACATAATTGATGATGTAATGTAATGTTTTGACGGTGAAAGATTAGGTATTAATGATTGTTATATGATTGTCTTATTAAGTATTGGTGAATTTTGTTTCCTCCTTCTTAACACGAAAAATATATTTTATGAATATTGGCTTTTTTTTATCTCATTGAAATCCATTTGCAAAACACTCTTGTGGGTCTTTTTTTTTTTTTTTCCTTTCGTGCACTTTGTTATTTATGCGCTCATTGTCATTCCTTTATTATTATTTTTTTCTTTCCCAAATGAGGCATTTGGTAAATGTATTTGTGATGCTTTACCATACTTCAATGACATATGGAGTGTAATGTAAGAATCAATCTATCTTGTTCATCGCGTCATAACTATTATGAGGGTGTTAAAATCAATGTGTGATGTTTTGTTTGCTCCATTCACATGTTTGCTAATTTGAGATGTTTTTCTGCTTTGATAATTGAGTTTATAATAAATAATGAAAATTCAAATAAATAATAATTGTGTCTTATTTTTATACTATAGTTTGTTCAAGCTTGCTAGATTAAATAGAAGAAATTAGCTTAACAGGTCACAACTCAAATTTTGGATTGTGACAGAATATTTAATATAAGTGTTATATGGCTCACTAATATTAAAGGAAAAAAAAATCAAACATTTGCATTTCTTTTAAACAATCAATTAAAGAAGAAGAAAATTAAATTAAAGGATAAAAATATAATTCAAATTAAAATCATATTAAAAGAGAGTCACGATCAAATGTGATTGAAGGATTAAAATGAGACACGAGAAAGTTAAGCTCAAATTAAAACTAACTAAATTAACTGACAACAGTACAAGTTGAGTTCGAATTTAAAAATTAAGGAAAAGCAATATGTTAATTAAAAATTGGGAAGTAACACAAAACCCTTTTTGCCATAAAACGTATGTGGTTTACAACGTTGATGCTATTTCAAACACTAAAGAGCCTTTTTGCCATAAATTTCTACAACACTCAATCAAATATAATATAGCTTTGGAAGCAAGATTTAAGGTGAGTGAGAGTAAGGACCTTAGCAGAACTTATTTTCATAAAGATTTAAATTAAAAAGATAAGTAATTAAACCCACAAAACCCTCAATGCCATCCAAAAGAGCAATTCTATTTCTTCCTGAATTGGAGAATTGAAGACAATAAAATAAGTGATACAGTTCAATCAAATATCACAATCATGTGATGCAATTGAAAGATGAGGTATGGATATAACTCAGTCTATTCCATTAAGAATTTGTTCCTTCCAAACTCTTGAACAATATGATCTTTTGTTTGGGGGCGTGCAATCAGATGACTCGCGATTATACCGCTAACCATTCGATTCCGTTATATATTATTAGTCGCTCCAGTCCAATACCAAGCTTATGGCATCAAAAATCTCAACACATCAAATGTAGTAAATTTCAGAGAGGAATATACACAACCGTAATTTATAATGGAAGAGAATTGAAATTTCAAGTACAACAAATAACAGCTTCACAATTCAATTGAACCAAGGTAAGGAATTAGAACAACTTGCACAGTGAGGAAAAAGCGCATCCTTTGGCCTCCTTTTGAATTAAAAACCAGTTCGAAACCAACATAAATAGATAACTCATTAGCGGACAGGAATATAAATTTAGGGGCATGTCACTAATTCGTTTGAGTACGCGACACGAAGCATACAAAATCAATTGCATTGACTAAATTTTGACGAGTTTTAATTTAAGTAAATTGGAGAAAAAAAGTAGAACCATAATATGTGATCTCTAACACAGAAGTTCAAGTTTAATCACCGGATGACAAGTAAAACTTCAGTTACATGATTATGAGCGACTAACGACAAGCTCAAATCCCAAAACCACGAAGATGAAGGCCAAAACCTAATACCTCCTAGCTCCGCCAAAACCACGACCGAATCCCGTCGTCTGCTGCACAGGGACGGGATCAACTTGGACGAGCCCCGGAATATCATTCATACCAAAAGCAGCGAGCATGTCTAGAGTCTCCTTATCGACCTCGATCTGATCGGTCTTAATGGCGGAGACGTCGGGGACGAAATCCATGCGACGCTCACGCTCCTCCTCCTGAAGCTTGAGAGAGATTCCACGAACGGGTCCCTTCTGGATCCTCTTCATGAGATGAGTCGAGAATCCGGCAATTTTGTTGCGGAGTCTCTTGGAGGGAATGAGAGCAACCTCCTCAAGAATCTTCTTGTTGGTGTGGAAATCCAAGGTCATCCGAGAGTAGTACTTCTCAATGACCTGGCGCGAAGACTTCTTGACAGTCTTGGTGCGGACGCGTCCCATGGTGACTCCGTCTGAGACCTTGAGCGGCGCTCGGACGATAACGGTGAACAACCACTAGCGCAAGACCAGCCACGGCGCAGAGTGCAAAATATACCAACAACTTAGGGTTTTTTCTATATATTAAAAACCTACATCGGCCCACGCCTAAATTTCAAGACCTTTTCGGCTCAAAAACATGCTAGCTTGGTATTGCTAGAATGGGCCCTTTACTTTCTCGATTTTGAATCCCCGGCTTAGCGGGCTGGCAATGAATAATAAAGAGGTCAAATTATTGGGCTTGTCTATGAGTCTCTGCATCGAAATTCTATTTTTGGCACCCTCTGCATCACAATTTCAAACCGTGTATATATGGATGCAGTTTCGGTGCTCACCGTGGTCATCATTATTAATAATAAATAATTATATTATATTTAAACTGTTAAAAGCTTACCTTGACAGTTCAAATGTGACCTACACTGTACATAACTGTAATTTAAAATATTTTATACTTTTAAAAATTGTATTAGTTATGCACAAGTATTCACCTATTAAAAGGAATATTGTTCAACAATCCAATATTAAATCTAAGTGCATATTTCAACAATAATTTAAACCTTTATTCATTACTTTATGAGAGAAATTAGCTCATTTTGCTATATCTAACTCTTATTCTAGACTACTTAGGTCATTTTTCCTAATTTTTTCAATATGGTTCTAAACCATGTAGGTAAATTTTTATATTTAAGCTGTTTAGTCAATTACTAATAATTTAAATTTATTTATTTAATATTACGGTAATATTTGTATAAAAATAATAATAATAACAATCTTATTATAACTTGAGCTTTCACAACAACAACAAAAAATCGTTGCATTGAAATGGCACAATTTTACGATGAGCAATGCTCATCTGATATATGATGAAACTGTATCCTTGTATGTGTATAGCATTTACATCTTAATTGGGCTTAAGGATGTTCATGAGATGAGATAGGATCATGACACCCCTATCCCATATCTCATCCCAAAAAATTATCTATGCTCCATTTTATTAGGAATCGGAACGGGACTAAGATGAAATTAGGACGTCCCGCCGTCCTAATAAAGCAGACAATGTGAGACAAAAGTCTAAATAATAACATTCATTAATTAAAATTTTAAATCACATAACTTATTAAGTTTAAAACCAAAATAACACCTGTATATAAGTCACAACAGTTGTTGAATTACATCAATCACGACTACAAATGTATAACTTAATTTAAAGTCTATTATATATGAGACATAACACATTATGATAATAATTACAAGTGATCTCTAAAAGCAACAATAATAGACAAGTCTAGAATAATATTAAGTCATTATTCTTTTTCTTTCCTTTGGTTGAAATATGAAAGTTAGTAACTCTTTCTAAAATAAAGCAAGACATATAATATAAATAAAAATTATTAAAAAGATAGATATAAAAATAAATTATATCAATATAATTAATATATTGTAAAATCCCGTGTCTTGTCCCGATATGACCAATACGAAATTAGGCCAATCAAGATAGGTATAAGTTGAACCCTCCTGATTGGACTTGTATGTCTAACAACCCATGTGAAACTTTTCTCTTTTGAATCTTGACCTAGTTGACAAAAACTTCTCCAATGGGTTTATTTCATGTTATTGTCTCTTTTTTATAGTATTAATATCTTTGAATTTATAAAAAAAATGACAGTTCAAATTTTTATTTTTTTAATTTAATTAACGCAATAAAGTGCCTCTATAAATTATAACTTAATTGGCACTGTTAAAGAGAAATTGTATTGAAGCGAAGCATGATATTGTGAAGAGGGAGTGGTAGCCCAAGAAGCCACCATTACCAACAGGATGCTAGGTCTTTTACTTTGGAAACAGATGCCTCTTGCCTACAGGATTGAGGAAGTGCTATTGGTGAAATTATTAGACAACAAAATGGAAGATAAATGTTGGGTTTTTTTTCAAAGGTAGAATCATTACCACCAACTATTACAGAGGTAAAAGCCATTATCATTGGATTGCATTATAACTAGAAACTTGAAATTAGGAGAGTTAATGTAATCTCAAACTGTGCCAATGCTATAAGTATGATCTTAAGAGATTACCCGCAAAACCACCTCTATTGGGATATTATACAGGAGGCTTGAATGATTCTAGGAAGAAATTAGTCTGTAAACATTATTTACATGCCTAAAGTTTTTGTCAAACAGATGCATTAGCTAAGTTTACTTAGACACTTATTTTGGAGGATCATTTTTTTAACCATCCTCCTCCATTCGTCCGAGAAGCGGAGGAAGGGGAGAGAAATGATTTATTAGATATATAGTGCTATGAATGAATCATCTTTTAGAGAGAGAGAGAGAGATCATATTGGAAAAAAATTGATACAAATTTGTCCTATATTTGAGATTAAATATAAATTTCAGCTGTGCCCATTAATTCGGTCTGGAGGGAGCGTTTAGCAATTGAGGAATTGTTTAATTTCTTAACATTATGCTAAATCTTGATCACAATACACGACATCGGTAACTAATTATAATTCTCCAAAATAGTTAGGCAGAACCTTAATCTTGCAACTAAAACATTATTTATTTTTAATTATATCTTCATTAAATATTCTATATAATCGCCTTAACAATAATTAAAATTTTAATGCATTACATAAATGTCTCTATGATAAATTTTTATTTTTAATATTATTAACATATTAAAATTTACTTGTTTTAAATTGCTTGAATGCAAGTATACAATATATAAAGTTAAACACATAAATGTTTTTCATTACAAAAACTACCTGACGCCCAATGCTTTGGAGTAGTAAAACTTTACAAAGTGCCCTGTATTACGGTGCGGAGGAAGTAGTGTATAAGAAAAACGAATTTTTGGCATGAAAAATTTTGGAATGTCATTTTATGGCTCATTACAGGATATTGAATACTTCGACCTACTCTGGCATCCACGATCAACCCAATTAATAAGAAAATTGATGGCCAGAGATTGGCCCACGATCCTTTGGTATTGCCCGAGACGTGTCAATGCTGATGCAGACATGGCCCAAACATCACTGCTGCCCAAGCCTGATGCTCGAGTATTTGGGACAGGTTGGCCTTTTGACCTGAAATTTCTTTTGGAAAAATATAATCATTAATTTTTAAAACATATAATTTATAAAATTAATATTAGGTTCAAAAATAATTTCTTAAAAATTACATAAAATCAACAACTGTCATTATTTTTAGATGGTATTAAGTTAAAAACACATTTTAAAATTTGAAAGATATTAAAAAAAGTCACATTGACAATAAATGTAAAAAAATCATAAAAATAGTATAGTTTATAATAATTCTCAATAAAAAATACTATTATTCACAAAACATTTGAAAGAATTAACGCAGTTGGATCCTTGTCTAATGTCGACCTGTTGTGGCTGAATGACTTGGCTGGGGCCTAGCTTTTCAGGCGATGTGAATAGTCCTAATTCTTAGAACTTGTCTGGATTAACGTTTGCAAAATTAAAATTTTCATAAACCACAATTTATAAATTAAAATTAATGTGAAAGTGAGTTATTATAATATAATTTATATTTGAATATTCTTTTATAAAAAACCTGATAAGACGATATTTAATCATGTTAACGTGACTTCTAACAAGTTAATTATTTATATTGACATTTACTTAATATACACAACGGTTAAAAAGAAAAAAAAAATATCATTAAATGGCCTAGCTAAATGTTATCCAGCTAATCTTTTTTTTTTTTTGGCCAAATCCAGCTAATCAATAGAAGAAGGTAAAACTCAAAAAAGGACAACGCAAGGACCAGGAATCTTGAATATTATAAAAGTAATATTTCTTAATTATAAGATGTTTTAAAAAAAATTTAACATTTTAAAATATAAGACACTTTGATAAAAATAAAATTTGATTAATGATACTTTTTTAATATTATCTTTTTCATATATTTTTTTTAATATTTTTTTATCAATGTAGTATTAAATGAATGATATTTTTAAAAATTTATATTTTTATTTTAAAAAAATAAGATTATAAAATGTATTTAATAAGCTTTATTAATATGTAATATTTTATATAAAAATATTTTATAATTTATAAGGGAAGGGAGTACATCCAGTACTGTTCATAGCTACTTCCTATACGTGATTTAGCTAGGTAACTAATGATGGAGCACGCATTATCATTAGCGAGTGGGAAGAGAATCCACTTCCACGGTCCTGCTCCTTCATTAGGCCACGCCTGGGCACGCAAGCCTATTTAAACATTGATTAAGTGTGCGTTTGCATTAAAATATTTATAATTAAAGTTAAAATTAATTGAGATTAATAAACTGAAGTTAAAAAATAGTGACTTTAACATGAATATTTAAAAAAAATTAGTTGAATAAACTGAAATTTATTTAAATAATTTAATTTAAAAATCAATTAAGATGTATAATGATAAAAAAATACATGAACTTTTTATATATATTTTCGTGACAAATTTAATAATTTTTAATAAATATTAAACTTAAAATTAACAATTTTTAAATACAAATATAAAATGCGTTGAGTATAAAATTAGTAAAAATTTGAATATTATTAAATTAAAAATAATACAATTGAATTTTTATTACACGTGTTTTTCGCAAATTTTAAATTTAAATTAAGAATAATATAATTTAATATCAGTATTCTTCAACGTATTTTTCTCCAACAGTAAATGAAAACGTTTTTCATGTATTTTTCTTCTTCTGTTTTTTTATTTTGGGAGTTGAGAACCTAAGGCCCCGTTTAGTATGACTAAATAGTTTTTGATAGAATCAAAATTGGAATCGAAATCAGAATTAGAATAGTATTGGATTTTAAAAATATGTTTGGTATGTTAGAAAAAATAAATGAAATCCTTGTATTATTTTTATTTGGTATGTAAGACAGGAAATGAAATTATGCTTAAAAGACAAAAATATCCCTAAAAATTAAAATCAAAATTAAAATATATTAATATTGTGATTTAATTTCTCATATACTATTTAATATACAAATGAAATATTATATAGATGATGGATATTAAAAATAAGTAAAATAATTTTTAAATGAAATATTATAAATATTTAAATTATATAAACACACACACACATGATAATTTTTATATATAAAAATTTAAATTGTCTGAGTTGGGCATTTTGAATTGGGCATATATATATATATATATATATATGAAAGCACGAGTTGAGCATTTTCAATTGTTCACTGTACGACTGTCTGCATGCTCAATTTTTTCGATATTAATCACAAATGAACAAGGGCATAGTTCTCTCCTCTATTTTTATATAAGGATAAAATTGCCTTCAAAAAAATATAATTCTATAGAATTGCTCCAATTCCATAGCTCCCGTCAAAGAATTCAATTCAATCTTTTTTGCTTGAATCAAGATTTTTGAAAATTTAAATTCACATGTACCAAATATCATTGTTTTATGATTTCAGCTTCAATTCCTTTTTCATACTTGTGATTCCTCTACCAAACACAGCCTAAAAAATCATGAAAAAACAAATCATTAATCCTCATGCACGTGTCCGAGTCTAGTTTGTGCAAGCACATATGGAAGAGAGAGATAAGGTCAAAAAAAATTAATTATCATTTTAAATATTCAATACCCCACTGACCGCAAATACAATGTCAGAGGCCAAAAAAAGTAGCTTCACGGCCAACGTCACGTTTAGTCCTCAAGTCCATTAGAAATTTTTTTACCCAAACATCATTTTTTATTTATTTTTAAAGAGCTTTTAACATCCTAACTGAGATTTGGGAAGCTTCCTTAACGTGGGTTTCATTTGATTTTTGTTTTGCCTAAGCTGATTAATCCACGTACGTTATCCCTAATCAAGGGAGGGAAAAGAACAATTTTCACACGCAAAGCCCGTAAGTCTCTAGTATTCGTTACAAGCCTAATAATAGAAAGGACATTACTTAACCGCCACCACTTACTCCCTCGCTTCAGAATAAAATTAGTGAGTAGTTCTTCCTATAAAATGGTTCCACAGTTTTATTGCTTTCTGTTTTTCATGATAACATAAAGGGGAAGGAAACAACTGGAGCCAAACTTGATTTAAAGATTAATAGTTACCACTGTATACACAGACACGTACATATTTTATATATAAAGCGGAGCCGGAGGGAGTATTATCAGGGGAAAACAAAACACTTGGAGTATGATGAGGGGCTCCTGGATGATATATCAGGAGACGCAGTTTGAAGTACCATATATGGAGCTAGCACATGTAAGTACGTAGCCAGAGGGAACCAACCTAAAATAGAGAGGAACAAATCCATGTCCGCAGAAAAGGTTGCCAGACACATGATCACTTCTTGTAGAAAAGCTTCATCAGATCTTTCACCCCCGAGGCAAGTGAGAGATTGGCCTTTCCATTATTTGCTCCTCCTTCCACCACTAAGTTCAGACCGTTCACTGACTTGGACTCGTCGCAGCTCAGATAAAGCGCCGCGTTCCCTACCTCTTCGGGCTCCATCAGAACCATCCCCTTCGACATCACCATGCCCATCATTTTCTCCGTCACTCTGCTGTCTATCTTCAGCGTATTGCTCGCCAACGGTGTCAAAACGGCGCCGGGAGAGATGCAGTTCACTCTTATCCCGTACTGCCCTAGCTCCGCGCTCAGGTTCTTCATGAGCCCCACAATGGCGTGCTTCGACGCAGCGTAGGCATGAGGTGCCTCTCCGGCCACCACCGAAGCTAAGCTCGCCGTGAAGAGAATGACTCCTGCTTTTGCCGGCATCATGACTCTTGCAGCGTGCTTCGCCCCCAAGAAAGCTCCGTAAACGTTGACCTCGAAAACCCTTTTGAAGGTTTCGTTGCTGGAACCTTGTATCGTGAAATCAAAGTCGCCCAGGATGCCGGCGTTGTTGTACATGATGTCGAGCTTGCCGTACTTGGTCACTGCCGTGTCAACCGCGTTCTTGATGTCGGAATCACTCGTGACGTCGCAGTGAACATAGGAGACGGTGTCGTTTGCGCCCAGCGCGTTGCAGAGGGACAGGCCGCGGTCGTCTTGGATGTCAGCGACAATGACTTTGGCGCCGTTTTGGACAAATAGTTTCGTGGTGGCGGCGCCAATGCCGCTAGCGCCTCCGGTGATTATGGCCACTTTTCCCTGGAGCCTGCGAGACAGGTGGTCATGAATATGATCAGGCTATCGTGTGCAAGAACTAGAAAGAGGCGAGATCGAAAAGCGTTAAAATTAAGTTCCAAGGTCGAAAAGCGTTACCTTTTGGAAATGGTAGCCATGGAGGAGGATTGTTTGTCCATTCAAAAAGTTAGGTAATGAGGAATTGTCGTGGGAAGGCCGAGTGGCGAGAGGGGGTTTATATGGATCTGGTTTCGGTACCACGTGCTCAACACCAAAAAAATAAAAAATAAAAAAGGAACTCCACTTCTCCGTTTCGAAAGAAGTCTCCTCTACCTTTCTTTGAGATATAAATTTAATCTACATTATTTAAATTTAATCCGTATGATCTAAATTTAATATTTTTTATTTTTTATTTATATTTTTAAAATAAAATATATATAAAAATTGTAAAAAAATTAATAAATATATTTATTAATTTGACAATTCAAATTTACTATAAATGGTCTAAAATTAATATTAAAATTTTTTAATAAATTTACTGTTCTGTTCAAAATATATTTATACTGTCAAAAATATATTTAAAAAATTAATTTAAATTTTTATATTAAATTTAGATTATATTAAATTAGGACTGCCACATTGATAAATATATTTATTAAAAAATTTTATATTTTTATTTTAAAGATATAAATAAAAATATAATTATTAAATCTACACCGTCTAAATTTATTTTCCTCTACCTCAAAGGAGAGACAGAAGGGGCTTTTCTCAAAATAATGTTTTGAAACTCGGACTGGATATCGAACTGGAAAGAGCAACGAGTCGCGGTTTTCATGGTCTAATCGGTTAAACTGGCGGTCAAGCCGATAACATAAAAATTAAATAAAAATTAATATTTATATGCGCAACTATATAAATAAAATATTAATTTGTCAATTGTGTTTGGGATCTTGATTCCAAAAGCTAGATGCTTGGACCGTTGGACCTAGAGATAGAGTCATGTCAGTATAAGCTTGTGATCTTGAAGGAAAATGCTGGAGCTGGAGGCACCCCGTCATGTCATAACTCACAAGCTTCTAGTCTCAATGCCAAAGGTTGGATCTCTAGAGCTGGAGGCAGAGATTGTAAGAGAAAGTAGAGATTGAGCTTGGGACATGAATGGGAAATTAGAGATTAGAAAAGAGAAGAAAAGAGAGAATTAGTGATTAGAAAAGAGAAGTTACAAATCTAAACAACTTAGCCTAATTTTCTCTTTTTTTAATTTTTTTGCTTTCAATCGGGTTGACCTGGCTTCGGTTTTCAGGTCAAAGCCGATTCTCTCAAAATTGGTCGATTCAATCTGGGTCAACCCAGGTTAAATGTCAGATTGGTTCAATTAGTTGAACCAAACCGTTTTACTTAGCGGGTGGCGGTCGAACCATCCGGTCCAATTTTTATTTTAACAACATTGTCTCAAAGGAGAGAAGCCAACTCTAAAAAAAAATTCAGCCAATTAATTTTAATTTTATATTTATAAAAATAAAATTTTATAATTTTTTTGATAAATATATTAATCATCATTCTTAACAGTATTGATTTAATTTAGATAGTTCAATGTAATATTATAATTTTTATAAATTAATTATTTAGATGTACTCTGTACAGTCAAAATTTAATTTTAAGTTTTTATTCTAGATTTAATAATTTTATTTTAATTTTAATTTTATATTTATTAAAATATTTAATATTGAACCTGTCTTGTCCAAAGTACATCTAGGTAGCTAATTTATGAAAATTATAATATTAAATTGAACCACTCAGAGTCTCAAGTTGAATAAATCCTATTTAGATTGATGATAAATATATTTATAAAAAATTTATAAATTTTTTTTTATAAAATATGAAATTGAAATTGCAATTGAAAAAATTTGGATCATCCATGGCACAGATCTTTCCTAAATGATAAGCACCTTGGTGGTCAGCATCTTGTTGAGCATTGAAACCAGATCCATTTTTATTGGGTGAAGGGAGAGTGCGACCAATTTTAAAGTTTGAACTTTCTGTTGTATATAATACTCCCTCCCTCTCAATCCATGGAGAAATGAAAATTAACCAACTTCACGTTTATTAAAATATATGGTAATTAATCTTTTTATTTTTTAAAAATGTATTATTTTTTAATTTTGTCACTCAGGAAAATTAATGACAACAATAAAATATATCAGTAAATTGAAAGTTTGCCAACAACTCTCTGTATATACAATAATATTGAAAAATAAATTCATTACTATATGTTTGTCCTATATTTGATATAGACCAAATAGGTTTTTAAAATTTTTCCTTATAATTAGTATCATATACTTTTCTAGTCTAAATTACTTTTAATGTTTTATCAGTATAAAAAAAAGTAAATTTTATTAACTTTATTTTAAAATTTAATAAATTTAATAATGTAACTCATAAATAAAATTAAAATTTTTTTTTTACTCTATAAATGCGACAAGAGGAAGTTGAGTGGTGTATGCTAGGTATATGAGCGTTTGAGATCGGTTTCCTCACGATCATCATCAACCATATAATCAATGAAGGGCTAGGTTATACTTTTTCTGACCACCTTTTAGAAATTTTTTATAGTCTTGTTTATAAACCATATCGTAAAATCTAAGAAGCAATTAATATTTTTCTAAGTATATTATTAACAATAAGCTAAGTATATTCACGGTGGAGAGAGATTAGACGAGTGTAGTAATGTTGTGTCAAAATTTATTTTAACTAATTAATTAAAAATTAAAAATAATATTAGAAATATGAAAAAAATTGTATATAACAACTTAATTGAAAGAATATATATGATAATTATTTTATAAAATAATTGAATTTGTTGATAAAAATTAATTAAATTTAAATAATTTATTTTATTATTTAAGGGTGGGGGTGGGGGTAGGACGGGCGGGGGGAAAGGAAAGGAAAAGGACAGAGAGGGTATCCAGTCTGTTCACCAGATTACACAATTAGATTGTTAGGTCAGGTGCCACGAGAATTTATTGCAAAGGGAGTGTGTGTGTGGGGGTGCCGCGTGGCAGTTTTTTCCTCTCCTCTTTTTCTGTACTGCCTGCTTAATTTCATCTTTTCAGCCAAGTAGAGCTTTGCATTTATCCATATTCTTGTGTCTATGTAATGTGTGCGTCTATATAGACATAGACAGGTGCCGCAGTGATTACTGTTGAATGTCATAATAAGTCACAGGTATGAAGATGCGTGGAAATATTACTAAGTTTTCACCAAATAAACTGACCATTTTATTGCCTCCTCCAAGTAACCAAATTTCAGCTCAAGGGATATTAGCTTTTCCAACTTCTTCCTCCCTCCAAGCAAACTAAAGTCTGAAGACCCGTGCGCGATAAACTACGCTCCCCCCCGTTGGACGATTTCGTGCATATAATTGTATTGACTTTTATCTTTTAAATATTAATATATATTTGATCTTCTTCAAAATCAAATAAAAAATATAAAAAGACTAGGTTGCCTCTACGATACTCTTTCCAGTCTTATATACAAAGTAGATAAAGGAGATTTTTTCTTTGATCTTATTAATAAATCATGTTATTAAATTTTTATTATATATTTTTTTTATCCTTCATTAAATATTAAAAAGAAAAAATATATTGTTAAAGATAGACATATCTTAATTATTGAGTAGTTATACTTACTATTTTCTCTTAATATTTTACAAGTTTTAATTTGGATGTGAATGGAAAAAAGCTCCAAAGGCTTGAAAATTTGTGTATTCTTACTGTAAAGTCTCCCAAACTCATTTATTTTATGTAATGGATAGGATATTGTCAATTGAAGGTTGCATTCTTTTGTTACACCTATTGAGGAAAAAATGGTAGAAAATCGGTTGAGATGGTTTGGGCATGTACAAAGAAGACCAAGGGAGGCACCAGTAAGAAGAGTGGAACATATAACTTTGAGTCCGATTAAGAGAGGTAGAGGAAGGCCTAAGAGAACACTCTTGGAAGTTGTCGAACGTGATCTCTTAATTAATAATATTCCTAAAAGCTTGATAAACGATAGAGCACAATGGCATCTTGCAATCCATATAGCCGACCCCACCTAATGGGATAAAGGCTTGTTGTTGTTGTTGTTGTATTCTTTTGTTACACTTTCATTATGTTTTTATGCATGATTAGATGGTTATATTTTAAGCCCTCAGTATTGTAAAAGTAACTAAATGATTTAGATAATGTCAAAATGTCATTGCAAGTGTAAGAAACATTATTATAATGTTGTATACAGAGTCAAGTGATTTATGCAAAGCTAAACCCCCTTCTATTTTTGAAGTTAAAGGGGTTGGAGAATGAAAATGAGAAATTGTTGTGATTAAATACATGTGGTGTGTTGTATGGATGGTCTCGAATCTATTAAATGTGGTCTTGATGTCAATGGTAACTTTTACCACATATGTGGGGTTTTGGACACCATTTGGTTGAGAAAAGCGTGAAAAAATGTTTTAAAGTCCAACCCTCTTATGTGAAATATTTTCAGAGTAAAACTCATGCTATTAGTTAAATCTCAAAAATAGCTTTTTATAAATACCTAGATCATTTCAATCGAATATCAGAATGAGAATTGTGGCATGTCAAAAGTTTGCTGCTGTTGCTGTCAACCTGTGTCATGTGCCATGGCTCATTACACAATGAGAAAGTGAGCTTCCGCACGCTGACCATATGTTGTGGTGCACCCTTTGATTTTGGCTCTTTTATTTTTTCAATTAAAATGCAACGTTTTAAACCATTTTGGTATCCCATACTTCTGCAATAATATTTTACTCTATCTGGAGTTCACTAAAAATATTTAAGCATTTTCTAAATACAAAAATTGGGATTGTATCTTTTTTAATATTGTAAAACTTGGTAATTTAATTGGATTAGCCATAGAATTACCATGATTTCGAGATTAATAGTGGAGTAATAAGGGTGATTTTACATATTGGATTTTGAACCCTTATGTTATGAAAAAATGTGAAATAGTTTTGAAATTATGGTTGAGTGCTCAACTCCTTTGTGTAAAATTATTTGAGAGTAAAATCTATGTCATAAGCTAGTTTATGTAAAGAGATTTTTGTAAATACCTAAATTATCTCAATCAAATATCAAATAAAGAAACGGGGCATATAAAAAATTCATCCTTGTGTTGTCAAATTGATAACACAGTACTGTTAAATATGCACAGCGTGCCATAATGTGAGGCACGGAGGTGGGCAAGCCATAGCG